ACAAATCCATAAGTCTAATTAGAGTAGAATAATCCAAAATCTATAATTTCAAATAAAAAATTGTAGTAAGAGAAATACTCCATTTTTTTAAAAAAAAGAATCAATTTTTGAAGATAAAAATGATTAGTTAAAAAGTGGAAAGTTTCTAAAATTTAAAACATAACATAAAAAGTAAGGTAATTCACTCACTTTTAAAACAAAATAAAAATACCGAGTTAGTACTCTTATCAAGTATCAAGGACATGTTTCACATGAATCTAATGATTAATATACTTTTGTTTTACTAACAAAGTGTGAGTCATCATATTGACTCACTAATTATTTTAGGACAAAAGTATGCATTTAGAATGCCAAAATTACAATTATTAGGTAAAGATATCCATAAAAGATGTTAAAGAAAGAAGAATAGTATTAGTGGAGAAGAAATGGAGTCTTAGTAAGTCTTGGAGGAAATTATTTTAGTTGGTTTAGTATTTTTACTTATTATTGAGGAGTAAGGATTAGTTACTAAAATCAATATTTATATTAATCTTATATCTATATGTATTACTTATAAAAAAAACTATAAATGTTAGTTAGTAGTTAAAAGAAGCATGAGAAAGAACCTCATGTCTTTTTAGTTATTTATATAGAAAGTAGAATTTATAGTAGATTTAAATTGATTCCATTACCTATAAAAAATCAATAATATAGAAAATTATATCCTTAAATTGCTATTAGCATCATAGAAACATTATAGGAATTTTTAGAATTTATTTAGAATTTATTTAGAATTTTTAGTAGATTCAAATTGATTTTTATTACTATAAAAAATCATCAATATAGGAAATTATATCTTTAAATGGATATTATAATTATAGAAATATTATAGGAATTTTTAGAATTTATTTAGAATTTTCTATGAATGTTTAGGGTAATTTTTAAGACCTTGGTAAAATTGAGTTTTACCACTTGGGGAGCCATTATGAAGACATGGAGCAAGGTTTGAATGCCACACAATGTTTCTAAACTAATTGGGTGTTTTTGAACACCATGATGAAGTCAAAAATACAAAATATTAATTCTACTAGTAGAAAATAGAAGGACCAACAACTATTATAGTCCTTGTAAGAAGGGAGGTGCGCAAGTCCCATGTGGGTTGTAGCACCTTGGATGTAGGTAGGAAGATAAAACTAAGGCCTCAAGACCTCTTTAGAAAATCCATATACACTACATGTGAGCCTTGGTGAGGTTCGAACCCTTGATCTATTAACAAGTTATCCTTGAGGTAAAATATTTTTCACTTAACTTTCTATTTGTTACTTATTATTTTCAATCCTTCATAACTTACTCATAATAACTCGGATTTATATGTTTTTTACATCATTTCAAAGATAAAAAATTAACTTTATAAAAATATAATTTTTATTTTTATTTTTTACTTTTTATTGGGTGAGAATCCAGTGAACAGACTGTGACTCGTTTTGTAGTGTACAATTGCTTGATTGCACTTGTTTCACTTGTTTTGTGTTATTCTTCTTTAGTTCTTGTTGTTTTTTACTTCCACTTCACACAACCCATTACAAGCAACTCTTAATTGAGGCCATCTTGTAATTTGGGTTGAGGGGTGGAATTTTACACTCATACATAGAATAGATAATTACTCAAAGATAATATAATATTAAGACTAAAATGACTATTGCCAAAGATTAAAGAACTAGAAACTCATTAAAGAAGACTAAGAACAAGAAAAGCATTGACAAGAATGAAGAGGGTTTTATACTTGCCTCTAAATATATTATCTAACTAAGAACTACATGCCAACATTCTATAGGACTTCCAACATGTGTCCAACTTGCAATACTATCAAATCTACCTAGTTTTACCTTCTATTTAATATTTCTTATATTTGGAATTATTTAAGTTCATGACAATTATAGAGTATAAGTAGGTTTAAGACTTAAAATCATATATATATATATATATATATATATATATATATTAATCTTGTTATTTTGATTAAATTTTTTTATCAAAGTTATTAAAAAAATTTAATAAAAAAATTAAATTACCATTGATGATTAATTTGTGTTTTATAAATGATATTTACAATATTTTATCCTAAAAAATATATTCTTAGTAAAAAAATATTTTTTTAATATTATTTTTAATACAATTTTATTCATAATATGAATTTTTTAATTTTTTTATATAATAAAATATATAATAGTTTAATAAATTGATATTTTTTGTCTTATTTTTTCTTAATTTATATATATACATATATATATATATATATATATATATATATTTCAAAAAGAAATCTTTATATTTGTACATTTAACCTTTAAAATAGAACTTAATTTCTATTCTTATTAATCTACAATCTATTCAAAGACATTGCATCTTTTATTAAGTATAAATTTAAAAATAAAAAATTAAATCTAGTTGATATGAAAAATTCTTTGTAAGTATACTAAAAAATCTTTTGGTGAAGAAAAATAATCTATTATTCTATATCTCTAGAAACTATTATTTATTTAAAATAATAAATTATTAAAATTACTATCATTTTCTTTTAAAATTTGAATTAAAAAAAAAAAAAAATCAATCAAAGTAAGATCTATACTGTGATACATCTTTTAAAATTACAAAATTTGGTTTACATTTTAAATAATGATAATTAAAATATGATATTTTAAAATAATTAAGAATATTTTAAAAAACACATAAATGTTTTAGAAAAAAATATATATGCATTTTTCAACATAAATTAAAAATATTTCTTTACAGTTTTAGATGATTTTAGATAAATTATTTAGATTCTTTAGAATGTAAAGAAAAAATTCCATAAATTCTAAAAAAATAAATTGTAATATAGATTATAAATGAAAGGTTGTATGTAAAGAAAGAGAATTATGTTTTTGTTTTTACAATTTAAGTAGAATTTTTAGAATAAATTATTTAAAGTGATAAAATTCTAAAAATTATAAAAAACCTAAAATTATTTAAAATCATAAACATATTAATATTTTATAAGTTATTAAATAAATTTTAATTTTTAATAATAATTATTAATTTTTCTTGTAAGTTACTTCTAAATTAAAAATGCACTTTAGTTCCAATATGTGAATTTTAAAATTCAAATGAACACTGTTAAAAAAACTTTATTATCTCTTATATAGATGGTAAGGTAAGATGCATTTTGTATCATTGCAGGAGAAGAAATTTCTTAATGTTTAGGAATTTTTATAGGTTTAGTAATCTTTATGGATAAGAGTATCACATTTAATATCATTTTAAATATCTTAATTTATAGAGATTTATAAAAGTTTTAAAAATAATAAAGTGATTTTTTAATCTAGGTATGTAATATATTAATGGCTTAAATTATAGATATATCACTTTTGTACATCACAAAATTTTAAATTTACAGGACATATTATTTGACATATTTTAAACTTTATTGACTTATAAAACATATCATATTTTATTTATTCTTATTAAATTTATTCTTTAAAAAAATGGAAAAAGACAAAGATAATAGATTACATTTCACTCATTTATATTACTCAAAAGAAGTAAAATTAAATAGAAGTGGAAATATGTAAAATAAATAATAACTTATTGTAAAATATTGTGTAAGTATTTTAGGCATATATTGGACCTATAATTATCATTAGCTATAGTGTATATTTGTAGAAGGCTCTCTTATGGGTTTTTTAGATTTAGAAAATTATTTTAAAAGAATATGCAACTTAGATACTTGTCTTATAAGCCACAAGGTCTTTACAAAGCTTTTATATAGCATTCTTATTAGCTAATATTTAGAAGTAAAACTAATGGCATTACCAACCTTATTAACACTTTTTTTGTGAATATGAATATATGGATAAATATAAATCTTAGTAACACAGTCTCTTTTTTGTGTTTATGAATATATAGATAAATATAAAAAAGAATACTAAGGTTACTAAAAATATTGTGTTACTAAGATTTATATTTATCTATATATTCATAAACACAAAACTAAACAATACAAAAGATTCTTTATATTTATCTATATATTCATAAACACAAAATTAATCAATTTTTATTTATATGCATGCAATTCTAAACAACTTTCAAACTATTACTTCAATATATATATATATATATATATATATATTCATAAACACACAACTAAACAATACAGCTTCAAGTTGTTTGATATCTAATAAGTTAATATATATATATATATATATATATATATATAGATATAGTGTAAAATTAAAATAAATCCTACTTAAATCTAACACATTATGTGTATTAGAAAATAACATTTTTTTATCATTTATTTTAATATGCTTTAGATTTTTTAATTTTATATTTAATGAAAAATGACATTGCATTTAATATAAAATCATTAAAAACTCTAAAAATATTGATTTGTGAATTTTACAACATAATAAGATTAAGTTCTTTTTAAAAATTAATAAATGTCACGTATTAATCAAATTAATAATCATAATAAAAATCTTATAATCTTTGTGTTGTGCCCCCAAATCTAAAAACATCATGCAACATTTAAACAAAAAATCATTACATTTAATGCACAATGGCTTGGAATAGTATGTGTGCATTTTGTAAATGAAAAGGAAGCTCGACTGGGCCCTTATCACACGGTGTCCATCCCACCAACCTGTAACTTTAATCTAAACTTAGCTTTTAACTTTCGCTTTCCAACCATGTCCCGACTCATCATAGCTCCAGTGGTCGCAGATTCCATTACAGAACGGTCGTCTTAGGAGTACACGCGGCCAACCGGGTTTGTAGCGAGTGACAGTTAACTCAGATTTCGCTGTGCATCAAGCATGCACCCGAGAGGACGCATGTTCTGACAGTACGGAAGATCGATTCCGCTCGGAACCGGCCTCGGAATGGAGTTCAGTCAAATTCTGCATGTGCATGACCGTTGTGGAGGGTGCTTTGTTTCCTTCCCTGCCTTTGCTTGAGCCTTTGCTTCATGTTCGATGTCCTGCGCAGTTTGCTCTGTTGATCTCTGCGAGCTTTGTGACCGTTGCAGCCAATCGCCCCCCCAATTTCCGTTCACCATGCTTCATCTTCTCGCCTTCTTTGTCCCTTTTGGACACGAACCTTACTCCCTCCTTTCCTTCGGATCGTCGCTCGCGCGAACTAGTTCTACCCTTTCGTTAAAGATTTTGATGTCGGACCGGAATTGAAACTATTAGTCCAAGGATAGCCTTGAAATTCACACGTTTTTGTTACCGTTTGGTTGATTTCACAGAGTCCCCCTCGTGCAGCAGTTTATACGTACTTTGTTTGTTGAGCTCACATGCCCGTAGGTGAGTTTCGTCGACGGAGTGATCAGATCCGGAGGAGAAGCGTCCGGGAAATTTGGAAATTCTGGTTCGAAGAGTGCACGCGCGTGTTTCTTGGGAATTGCATTGTTGTGCTCTGCTGAAGTAGCAGTTGAGCCTCCGCGCTTTGTGTATGAGAGGGAGAAGCGCATGATCGAGAGGAGGGGCGTAGGAATTTAGTAGACATAAGAGGCCTCTATTGTCAGCCATGACTGTGGCCATTGAGAGAGGCGGAGGAGCTCAGCTTACGCGCGTTAGGGGTAGAGAGGAGAAGATCTTTGTCACGGTACGAGTGAGACCTCTCAGCGCGAAGGAGGCTGCCCGCGGTGACGTTTGTGACTGGGTGTGCACTACTGACAACACAATAGCATTCGAACATGCGCTCCCCGAGCGGTCACCATTCCCTGCCGCATACTCATTTGGTGAGTAATTCTGAATTATACGTTGGAAAATAACGTGAAGTTTCGTGTTTTGCAGTGTAGCGGGATTACTCAAGAATGACAGTAATTTCTCTAAATGAATGATGTTGCAACTTGGTTTTTTTTTTATGGATTCGCTTTCAACCTCTCTTGCATTGCATTCGAGTATTGTCTGCTTTTGCAGTGCAGGTTTCTGGTCGCTTCCACTATTCCATACCACACAAACTAGTCACAGAAATACTCTTTGCTGTTCGTCTGAGTGATCAAGCGTGGCGTAGATTGAAGTCAATTCGGTCTAATTTTCTACCAGACATTCTCCATGATGTCTTTCCTGATTTGAGCTCATAGAGATCACTCACTAGAGCTCGCAGCACAAGCTCATGACGGCTGCTGATTGATTGATTCGAGAATGCTAGCCCAGCGTCATAAGCTCAACGTTTGCCAATGATTAGATACATTTGAGGCGGATGCTCGTAAGCTCATCGACTGTCGTGCAATTGTCGATCTAGAATGCCCCTGAAGCACTACAGTGTCCATCAGGAGCAGAGAAGACCCTGTATTAGAGGAAGAGTCGTCATTGACCAGGTAGCTTTTGCTTGCAGATCGTGTCTTTGGACCTGGCAGTCGAACACAGAGGGTGTACGAAGAAGGCGCTAAAGATGTGGCTCTCTCAGTCCTCGCTGGACTCAACTGTAAGAGTTGCCTAGGCCATTGTCTCTGAACTTTCCTTACACTCACACCCCCTAACTTATCTCAATATACCTTAGCTCCTCTGTGATATTTTTATTGGGGATTTCTGACATGAGTTCATGCAGCTACGATCTTTGCATACGGCCAAACCAGCAGCGGCAAAACGTTCACAATGAGAGGAGTCACCGAGAGTGCGATTGCTGATATCTTTGAGTATATTCAACGAGTATGTGCTCGACCTCCACCTGATATAAGATTTTTTTTCCATCCATCGTTTATTTTAATTCTGTGCACTCTTCGAACGATACCTCGCCTTTGTTATACACTGGTTAGGTGTTGTAAATATACGCGTATCATTGAGTTGTTGATTATTTCATTACAGTTCAAGCTCGCTTATGTTTATAATCGGCCCTGTAATTGCAACGTTTGGCAGGCTGAAGGGTCCTTCAATTTGCTATTTAGTTCTCCTGGATACAATTAACGGATTTCCCTTTCACGAAAGGCACAGAGTGACAGATGGCCGCGAGGCATGAGGTTGCTCTAACTGTACTTAACTTTGCAGGACTCCGAGAGAGAGTTTGTTCTGAAGGTTTCAGGTCTTGAAATCTACAATGAGGTTGTGAAGGACCTATTAGCCTCTGACAATGCTCCTCTAAGGCTGCTTGATGACAAAGAAGTGAGTCTTGTCACTTTATTTGAATGATTTCGTGTCCTTTTCCCTGTGTTTTTAAGCTTCTGGATGTTGCGTTCAGTCCTATTTATGTGCAGCTAGATTTACTACCTCTGACTAGACGATTTCTTATTGCAGAAGGGTACTGTTGTGGACAAGTTGAAAGAAGAGGTTGTCCGTGACGTTAGTCACCTGCAGCAGGTGCTCAAGATTTGCGAAGGTACAGGAACCGTATTAACACTAAATTCCCCACCTCCCTCAACTCTTCCCGGTTTTCTCGCAACTGTTGCATCTTTGATCACAGATCTTGATGAAGCTACTAGGAGAACTTAAGCATGGACCTAGTAGGAGCAACTTAAGCAATCTAGATCATAGTCCCTTATACATGGGTATTGTAATCACTGTTCCCCATCGGTGTCTGATCCCTGCAGCCCAGAGGCAAGTTGGAGAGACAAGCCTTAATGACGTGTCCTCTAGATCGCATCAAATCATTCGATTGGTGAGTTTCAATCATTTCGTGGAAACTCATCAAATTTCGCTTTAACTTGTCGTGCCTGGCCTAGCACGTCGGTCTTGTACATTTGAGATGTATGCCCTTCGTGATGGTATCTTATCGGGCTTGGTTACTATCATGTTCACCGTTCGACATGAATGGATTACTTTCCTGTGCAGACAGTAGAGAGTCACCCATATGGAGTTGCTCGAGGGAGTCCAGCAACTTCATTACTCGCAAGCCTGGTAATTGCTATGTTCACTACTCTCTTCTGATCTTCAGTACTAGAGCATGCTATTTCTGGGATAAGAATAGATCATCGTGATGGAAACAGACTTTCTCCATATCTTGTACCCCCTGCAGACTCTAATATAAAGCTCTCCTCTCTCTTCATTGTGACACAGAATTTTGTGGATCTGGCTGGAAGCGAGAGGGCATCACAAACTAATGCTGATGGAGCCAGGCTGAAGGAAGGAGCTCACATTAACCGCAGCTTATTAACTCTAAGCACTTGCATTCGTAAGCTAAGGTACACGCATCCTTCAACCAACTCATTCAGCATCCCAATCTTGCTTACTCGAGAGGATTGCTCCTGCATCCTCTACTATCATAGGGAGCTCAACCTTGTATCTGTATGTATGATTATCAGCGGAGGGAGCAAGACCAAAGGGGGACATATACCCTACAGAGATTCTAAGCTAACGAGGATTCTTCAGCACTCGTTGGGGGGGAATGCGAGGACTGCTATTATCTGCACTATGAGCCCCGCTCACAGTCATGTAGAGCAATCACGTAACACCCTTGCATTTGCAACGAGGGCGAAGGAAGTAACAAACACCACACAAATCAACATGGTAAGATTCCTCTGCATGCGTAGTATCTTTCCTATTCTGCCACTTTCATCAATCTTAAATGTGGATACTAAGTTTGATCCGCGTAATCACTTGGTATCCTGCTCCATTCCTCATTATAGCTTCCGAATACGTGCACCATGAATCACATGTACCTGACATTGAGAACCCATCCTCTGTCAGGTTGTGTCCGACAAGGTACTGGTTAAGCAGCTACAGAAAGAGGTGGCAAGGCTTGAGGCTGAGCTGAAAGTGCCTGACGTAGTCACAGCTGACATTTCATCATCTGAAGCACTTCTTCAAGCTAAAGATCTCCAAATTCGCAAGGTATACATGTGTCCTAGTATTTAATAAATCTTGTTAAATTTAAAAATACTTGGCTATGTCCGTTGGAAATCTGTGCTGAGCCTGCAAATGCCACAGATGGAAGAGGAGCTTAGGGAATTGCAACTCCAGCGTGATGCTGCTCAGTCTCGACTTGACGAGGTCAGTAGGAAGCTGGAAGCGGAAGAGCTGGCCAAGAAACAAGCGGAAGAGGCAGCCAAGAAGTTCGCAGAAGAGGCAGCCAAGAGAACTGTAAGCTTTGATGTCCCCTGTCACAGAACTTCTTAATCTCGATTCAGAGTGGGACAGCTGGACGTAATGTAATCGATTACGATTTCGTCCTTCTATCCTTCACATTAAACACTGACCTATTGACTAACCCCATTCTCGTGGTGTGCACAATAACAGCCATCCACTCCTGGACCTCAACCTAATCTCCGCACTCCTCTTTCCATATGTACGAATCGGAGAAGGTGGTCTGATTCGGGTGATTATCTTATCCGAAAACTGGAAGTAGAAAACCAGCAAACTCGGTCTCCTCCGAGCACTATCCGGCCCAAACGACCAAACATGTCTGTCAGGCAATCTACTGCCGCTTCGGTTTTGCTCGTACAAGAGATTCGCAAGCTTGAAAACCTGCAGGATGAATTGGGAGAGGATGCCAATCGAGCTCTTGAGGCTCTTCAGAAGGAAGTGGAGTGTCTAAGGTTAGCCCAGGCTGGCATGAACCATGACGCCACCTCTACAGTTAAGAAACTTCAGGACGAGATTCAAACTATGCACAACCTTCGTGCCACAGCCTCGAGATTTAAAAGCTTTGAGAACAAGGAAGATGTAGCCAGTCTCCGCCAGTCCATTAGCTTGAACCCTGCAACACTGCGGCAAGAGCTCTCTAGACTGGGAGAAAAAGATAAAGCAGACGCTAATGCTGCCATAGCAACCCTTGAGAAGCAACTGGAGAGTGTTCAGAGGTCTTTAGATAAATTGATCCTTGCCAATGAATCCGAGTCACCTAAGGTAATTTTCGTTCTTCAACCTCGACATTCTAAATAATCTTATTGATAGATAGCGAACCAGACAACCAGTCCATTGTTCACGGTTGAAGGAGTATCTGGCATTCCCTTGTTTAACATATTGATTTTTCCTTAGTTTTATGAACTTAGCATCGCAGCTTAATGGTCAAAATTTTGTTTATGTGTTTGGAGTGTCGATTGCTGATGCAACCTAAGCAGTCACAAGTAGCAGTAGAGACCGTTTCTACTTCTGAACCTGTCTTTGACCTATTCAATGTGTTGTGTTCAGGAACCAGGAGATCCACCCGGGACCCCTTCTCGCAAGACTGATGTGCCTTTGACCCCATCTGCCGGCATTGCAAGGCAGCGCCTTACCCCTGACACTACTTGCTCCCCAGCTGCCCGGAGGAGCCTAAGATACAGTAATGCTGAAAACAACGAAAATGCCCCCCCGCGAACGCCGCGTGAGAATATTCCTCAGCGTGGAGATCATGGAACCCCTCGAGGAAATGGACATCACAAGCAAGTAGCTTCTCCCGCGTCGTCTGAACTAAACACTAGCCAGTCCAAAGGAAGCCCTGGCGGTGCACAAAAGAGGTCCAATTCGGTGGACATCATTAAAATGAATAATTTATTTAAGACTGCTGCCGAGGACAACATAAAAAGCATCCGTTCCTATGTCACGGAATTGAAGGAACGTGTAGCGAAACTTCAGTATCAGAAACAACTTCTTGTTTGCCAGGTACACGATGCGTTCCAGTATGATTGTTCCTTCTGACTCCTGATAACTCATTAAGGAATGTTCGTTCGGTCCGGTTCCCACAATGATAGTCTGATTAAGCTCTGAAATTTCGTGCAAATGTTTTACTCGTGATTGTTCGTTGAGAACAGGTTCTTGAACTGGAAGCCAGTGGGACCCACGAGGAGGAAGAAGAGGAAGATGATCTCAACGATGGTGAACTAGGCCTGGAGGCTGTAAAATCACCTGGCAGTTGGACATTGCAATTTGAGCAGCTACGAGCACACATCGTAGAGTTATGGGATATTTGCAATGTTTCCATCATTCATAGAACTCAATTCTTCCTTCTATTTAAGGGAGACGCTTGTGACGCCATTTACATGGAAGTGGAGTTGCGCCGCTTGACCTGGCTGCTAGAGAATTACAACGCCGAATCTCAATCCAACGAATGCAATGATAACACTATGGAAGAGCAACTAATACCTGGCAGCCCCAACTTCTCCAACAGGTTAATTTTCCGCACTTCAAAAAAATTCTTACATATACTTGTTTCCCACACAGGTCTTAGACATTAAAACATCTGCCTCCATGAAACGTTATTTGTAGAGCTGATCTACAACAGACTATCTCGAGCTTGAACAATGTACTTTTAGGAAAAAAATCCCCTCAGTTTTACATAGACATATGCTAATTGAAACAATTTGTATTGTGCAGTGTCAAATCTCTGAAGAAAGAGAGGGAACTTCTAGCGAAGCAAATGGCGCGAAGAATGACGACTGAAGAAAGGGAAGACCTGTACAAGAGATGGGGCGTTCCTCTTGACGGGAAGCAAAGGAGGCTCCAGCTCATCTACAAGCTGTGGATGGACCCCCATAATCTCGGCCATGTGCAAGCCAGTGCGGAAGTAGTAGCGAGGATTGTGGGTGTTGTCAACCCGGGATCTGCCCCCAAAGAGATGTTTGCGCTCAACTTCGCTCCTCCAAACCATGTTGAGAGACCAAGCATGTTCGGATGGAATGGTCTGTCAGCTCTGCTTAACTTTTAGCACCTGGCGAAACCTTGAGCTCTTCTTTACACTGCTTCAGGTATACTTTAGTGTTTTGAGTCATGTATGAGGTACGACTGATTTTCGTGCTGAAGATTACGGATACCTCTGTTCTTTAAGACGAAGAGGAATTGTAAAGAGGTCCCACTGGCCCATGTATCATGTATACTAAAGAATTTAACTGTCATGATAATTAATTGCAGTTCTAGCTGAAACTGACCTTTACCTCACTCCTCTCGAGCTTGTGTACAGCGGTACCCTCTCTCATGTGTTAATGGAAGCAGTCAGGGCAGAGAGTAAGAGGTTCCTTACTGACTTCATAATCGCATTGTACGTAAAAAGATATCTCAGTAAACGAATATCTGCTCCTCGGAGGAAGCCGAGATATCTGAATTCTGTTAGTATTTCAAACTCTGTCTTCTGCTATTCCAGGTTGTTCATCTGAAGCATAGGCATATCTATTATTCAATCCCGCCTTATTCATTCACCGTTGACCATTCTCCACTCATTTTAGCACTTCCACTGGCTTCTTTCTGCCATATTAAACGAGACGTCTCCATCTCCTCGGACTCATTCTCTCTTTCGCAGCGATCGTACTTGGAATGTTGACGAGATCTGAGTAGCCTGTTAGAAGAATGAGGCTCTCCCAACGTCGGCAGAGTCAAAAAATAATTCTGAAAAACTCCATGTCGGTGTGTACTACGCCCGAGATAGAGATTGTACACTACTAGTTCCACTTTTTACAGTTGCCAATTACCACATCGATTCAATCCCGATATCACATTCGTCGTGTGATATTGACCAAGACCAAACTCAATATCATCGAAATCTCCAAACCATATCCACGAGCGTTGACTATCTCTGAAAACATTTCCTCAAATCAGCTGTCAACAAGTAAAAATCTACCTCCGAGTATCTGAAACGATGAAAACTCATACGTATAGTCAGAGTAATATTGTAGACAGATGTTGCCAAAAGCACTCGAGTGTTACGTTCCATTAACAACAAAATTGTTTTATACACTGGAGTTAAACTAGCCGTATTATGCGGCGTTCAGGATTTTCCTAATACAAAGTTAAAGAATAAGTGACTTCAAGGTTGATGTGGAACAAGAGATGATGATTCATTAGCTTGTGACGTGGAGGTAGTGGATGGCATGCAAAGAGACTGCATTGAGCATGCAGTTGTGGAGGTAGTGCAAAGTGACTTGATCAATCGACAAGGGATGCAGGTTGGATATCACCCCTCTGCTTGGATCCATAATTTGTTTTTTGAATGGCACGTTTTTATTTCCCTCCAGCTGATGCCATTGAGCAGCTCAATACATAGTGGATGATCTCCCACTGGTGAGTCATTCAAATATATAGTGGATGATCTCCCACTGGTGAGACATTCACATTTGGTTTGTTTCTCTGCTTTTTTGGTTCACCTTTGTCTTGTGCAAGCAATTGATATTTTGTTGACTTGCTTTATTAAATTCCAAGTTGTACTTGTGGTCTGGATTGTAGTATTGATTCTTCAACAAGTTTCTATGTCAATCTTCAGTCTACTACTTTCTTGGTTACTAATGTTTGTATCATGGTCAAGCAATGAGGGAGTCATTGATTGTTTTTTGATTGTTAATATTCCTTTCTTGGGAATGCATTTGACTTAATTATCAAGAGCTGAAATTTTGTCAAAAGATAGTGCTCAAAGGTTATATGTTGAATGTTGTAGTTATAATATAGGAATTTTTACATCTTTGCAAGAATTCAAGGGTATTGGAGAATAGATTTCAAGAAATTCAAAACTTGTAAAGATGCAAAGAAGTACATTTGACTTAAAAGCTAAGTTGAATTAGTTAGGATTAAGCCTTCTTTTGTATAACTATATTGGTATTGCTTATAGTCTAATAGATTTTTTGTTTTCAATACATTCAATTGGTTCTAAAGCCTTTGTAAGGATATCAACTTGTTGCAAGTATGTAAAAGTATATTTTATTTTGATTGTTCTATCTTAATGTAATGATGATTTAGCTCTATATGCTTTGTTCTTTGGTGCATGATTAGATTTCTAACCAGTCTCATGCTGCTTACATTGTCACATAACAATGGTGTGGGATTCTTATCATCTATGTAGAATTTTTTGGGCAACCTCTAAAAATACATGATATTGTGAGCAACTTTTGATAGAATACAATATTTTGTTTCTATTGATAAAAGTGTAATCAACCATTGAAGCTTGCTTGACTATATTACAAGTGTTGATCCCATTTTGTATAGTATGTTTGATATTAATTTGTAGGAATCAATATCTCTAGTACAATTTGTATTAGCAAATGTAAGGAATTCTCTTTGTTGTTAGAGGGATAAAATATTCTATAATCTATGGTATCTTTGAGGTATTGTAGTATTTTTTTATTCCAATTAGATGAGTGAGTTATAAATTATGTACCTTAATACCATTCTTGTTGCAAACTAAATGTCCCAATGACTAATAGTAGCATAGAGTAATCCTCCTACAAAACTTTGCTATAGCTTATTGTTAATTATGATTTTTTTTTTTTTTTTTTTTTAATTTTGATTTTACATCCATTGGTACTAATAAGGGTTTGCAATGTGTTAGTTCAAACTTTTCTAGTAGTATTTAAATGTAGCATCATTGGTGAAAGTAAATTCTTTTAAGAATATGCTTCAATTCAACTCCTAAGTAAAGTTTTGTATCTCTTAAGTTTGTCATTTCAAAGGTGTTCTTTAATATCTTTGTAAATACTTAAATATGAATTATATCATTCCATATAACAATGATATTGTCCACATAGAATAATACTATTATATAGTTTCTACTTTGAATCTTTATTATTTTTTTAGAAGTTTTGGTCTTGTCAATAGTTGTAAATTGAACTATATCAAGCTCTAGGAGCCTGACGTGATCTATACATGGCTTATTCAAGCTTGTAAACTTTTTCTTCAATCTTTTTTTTTTTTTTTTTTTTTAAATCTAAGAAGTAATATAATTTATACTTCTTTCTTAAGTTTTCCATTAGTGATTCACTTATTAATTTGTGTATCAAATATATCTTAGGTTGATAAGTCAATCTTTTATATATGGTTAAAATCTATTAAGATCTCATCAAATATTATGTCTATGCTAATATAGGTCTTGTAGAGTATAGAGTCAAATATTCTATAGGCTTTTGTTTAATTATCATATCCTTTAAGTATATATTTCATTATTTTTTTTTTTAATTTAATTCTATTTTTTTAGGATGTGAAGGTAGGCAATTGATCCAAAGACTTTTAGGTGATTTAAATGCGGTTTGATTTTGCTATAGAGTTGCTTTGGAGTTATACTTTGATTTGCTATAATAAAACTAATATTCACTAGGTAATTAGCATAGTAGATAGCTTCAGTCCATTGGTAGGTTGGAAATTGGCATGCAATCAATATTGAGCATACCCTTTTGACTATCATTTATTTTATTTTATTTTTTAACTCCATTCTACTACAAAGTATATCCTTTGGTAAATTATTTCTCTATTCCATGTAGTATTAAGAATGCATTAAATTCTTCTAATAAATATTCTCCCTCTCTATTTGTTCTTAGGCATGATATTTTCTTTCTTATTTCTTTTTTTAATTAAGTTTTGAATTTTTTAAATTTTCTAAATATTTTATTCTTGCTTTGCAAGAAATATATCCAATTCTTTTGGAAGTGATCATATGTGAATACTACAAAATAATTGGTGCATCCCAAAGATAGTATTCTCATAGATCCTATTAGGTCAAAATGTATAAATTAGAATACCATTTTAGGATAGTGAGGTCAATTCTTTAAGAATCTTCCTTAACGTTGTTGTTTTGCAAGATAGTCCTTGCATGTCTCTTGAAGTGTATGGAAAAATAGCAATCCTTGTACTCAACAAGCTCTTATCAAGTGTTGTAGTACAACGTAATATAAGTGTCCAAACCTTTTATGACATAGTCTAACATTGTCTTCTTTCTTTACTAAGTTTACTTCAATGGTGTTTGGTTTTGGAGTTTTATTATAAAATTGATAGAGTCCATTTTGGTTGTTTTTTATTCCACTAGGTGTCAGAATTTTTATTTTGTTCTAATATCAAACAATGTTTGTGGTCTACTAATGTTCTTATTGAAATTAAATTGTGATCCAAAGCTAAAATGTACAAAACATTGTATAGATTTATTGCAACAAATGCTAAATTTATATTGGCAAAAGAAAAAGCTTCAACCCTATTAGATTTTCCATTTACAGTTCTTATTGCTCTACTTGGGGTTTGTACATCTAATAGCTAAAGACTTGAGATTTCTCCAATAAAATGATTATTGGCTCTTGAATCAATATATTAGTTCCTGTTTTGATAGCCAACAAGATTAGTTTTGCTTGTGTTATTCCTAAAACTTCTATAAGTACTCTCTTTTGTATAATTTATATTGGAATTATTGTATTGAATTTGCAAGCAATTTTGAGCTATACAATTAGGTCTTCCGCATGCATAGCATTAAAACAATCTTGCACTTTCATATTGTCCAAATCGAGATGTAGAAGGTTGTAGTCATGCTCCAAGAAAACCCCATAAGCCTCCAAGCTTGTTTTGAAGCTATTAATTGTTCATATGAAGTTATAGTCTTCCAAAGTATTATGGTATTCCTTAAGATAAGTTTCTTCCTTTTTGACCTCCTCTTCCTTACATAAAGTGATTGTATCCACGTCCTCTAAGATGTGTTCATTGAAATTATAATGTTAAAGCTTCTTCTTGTCCCAACTTTTGTTTCCTTACTACCATGCAATGAGTTTCAATGAAGAATTTATCTATAACATCTTCAAATGTTGGTTGTGTCATGAAGGTGATGCTTTAAATCACTATTTCATAGCTTTGTGGTAGTCCATTGAGGACTATATTTATGAGTGTCTTGTCTATGATGTCTTTACTAAATGCCTTCAGCTAGTTCTTCATGTCTATTACCTCTATCAGATAAGTGTTGATATCACTTCCTTCTTTCATTATCATCTTGTTGAATTTGTCGATCAATAACATAATTTATTGTGAACATTAACAAGAAATATTCTCCTAAACATGTCCCATGAATTTGTGGGATCATTATGTTGCAACATTGTGCCTATCAAGCTAGCTGCAACTGTCATGGTAAGGCCTATTTGGGCTCTTTACTAACTGTGTTTCAATATAAGACTTCCTTAATATAGTGGCACAAAACAATGAAACTAACTTCTTTGTTTCTACAATGCTCCACAAATTCTCTCTTTAGGATTGCAAACATTTTCAACTCCCAAACAAAGTAGTTTTGAACTCCAACTAGTTTGTTTGACTCTACCAACTTGTGGATCTCTCTTCTACCATCTCTCCTATTACTTTCTATCTTCTCCTTCCTAACTTGGGATGAGAAATACATTGAAGGAGCAGCACTCACTGGACAGAAAAGACTATCCTAATATTGCTCTAATACCATGTTGCAAATAGCACTCAAATGTTACTTTCCATTAACAACAAAATTGTTTTATACAGTTGTGTTAACCAAGTCGCATTACAGAGGGTCTAACCCTAAGTAAAAGGAGAAGTGACTACACGGCTGATGTGGAACAAGCGATGATGATTCATGAGCGCTTGTGAGGTGGAGGTTGAAAGGTGACTCAGGTGACTCAGCGGTCGTCCTGGATGGAAAGCGAAGAGTCTGTATAGAGCATGCAGTCGTGGAGGTAGTGGTAAGTGATGTGGTGAATCGACGAGGGATGCAGGTTGGGCATAGCCAACAGCAGATTCTGGAGCACTCTAATGCCGAAGCGCCACTATATATTGACCTTTCGCTGCTCTTCCTTCCGAGGTAAAACTCTGCCCGTTCAATGTACTCATCTTTCCTCTCGGCATTGCATCACTTTCTCATTAAAACTTCCTCTTCAAATTGCCCCTCCAGACTATCTAACCGACTAGGTCTCAGTATTAGGACTTTTTGTTGAGAACAACCAGGATTGCATTCACCAGAATATCTTCACTTCCCTCTGCTGAAACTCCCAAATTCCAATCTCGTCAACTTCGGTAATTCCAATCTCTACCAATCCCTTCAGCCGATCCAAGGGAACCCACCTACGTGACCACTCAGTTAGAACTGCATCTCCCCACAAGCAGGGACAGAACGGCATTCAGATACGAAACGTCAATTGCGTGAGCTCGCCAGTCAACCTACTCACAAATTTCGACTAAATTATGAATTGAATCCGAAAATGCGCGGAGATGAACAGAAACTTTTGGGGGTTCGCATACCCCTCTGCAACGAAACTCTACTTTCGTAGCCTTTCGAAGGAAACCAAAGAAATTCTGGCATTGATCATTCTTGTGATTCATAACGCAACTGTTTTGCTTTTCTCGTAGATTATGGAAACTCACCCCTGTGCGTAGGTCTGTACCGATAAGACGGGAGGTTTTCCAAGTTGATATACTAAGAAATACCTGAATATTTATAGACAGACTCGATAAAAGAATGTTAGCTTCCTCCGCAACAGGTGGTGTCCAAGTTTACGAAATTTTATCATACATTACACGAAAAAAATATACAGCAGCTAACTATCTTGAGCAAAGACACGGAGAAAAAACTTTCCTGCTTCGTCAATGGAACGCAGCCTAGCTGCTGCCTGTTTTGTCTCTACCTACATCTGGATACTGTACAAAAAGTCAAGGATCTCATGCATGAAAGCGTACAGTATGCAAACGTGCAGTAGCTACATCCGCATCTGCGTCGCCATTCGGACATAGAAGGACTTTTTTCCTGTGACCACATGAGCAAACAAAGAGATAGTTCTCAACAGATCGCCTCAAGGGCCAAACTCTTCGGCGACAACTTCATTGAAAAATCCCTCTACACTCTAGATAGGAAAGGAAAGTGCTCTCCAGTTACAGCACCATGTTTCTCCATAACTGAAAGTAAGCTGGGTTGATAGGATGCATTTCTTCGAAATGGCTCTTCCTGAAGGCAGTCTGCTTCAATCCTGCGAAGGATAAGAGTTGCAAAATAGATATCAACATCACAAAGAACACCATCATATGTCTTGGAAAACTTGCTTCCCAGTCTTCTACGCAGTGGACCATTTGAAATAGCCTGAAGGTAGTATCGAAAGCTTGACTACTCATCAAAACCCAACATAAGCCAGACGTGAAGCGGAAAAGTCAGACGTGCTTAGAGAGATAAATTTACTGGAAAAGTTGCTGCAGCCGCTGATTCTTACCTCGGCCTTAGCAGACATCCGCTTCAGGAATTCGTAAGTTACGATCATGGTTGTAGCGGAAATGGACATGCTACACCAACGAGGACCGATGCCTCGATAAAATGCCTTCCATCCTCCTTCGGCGATAAGAGTTTTCAGAGTCCATCTAACACTAGGACGCCTGCCACACTCACCCTTCAGAACCTGAAGCCGGGTTTTGATTGTATCCAATGGGGTCGTTAATACTGCCGACACACCACTCGCCAACGACGCACTGAGACCTTGGACACCAATGATCGTAAGTGAGCTAGGCTCATAACCTTCCTCCTGGTTTCTCTGATTACAGATCGACATCCACAGTGACCTTTGAGTAACACAATAAGACGCCCACCACAGAGCATTCGATGGAGCACAGGTTGCTACAGAAAGAGAGAACCCACGATACAACCCTTGCACCCCCTCCTGCTTCAGAATGGTCCGAAATGCATCAATCCCACCTCTGTAATCAGTTGAAAGACCCCCACGACCTCCCTGCACCATAAGTCTCTGAGTGACAACATCAATAGGAGTCCACACAAACTGGGCAGCGAATGAGGCCGTCAATCCAGCGGCAGCGTTGGCCACCGCCGCAGCAGCCGGATCAGACATTCCTCCAAAGATTTTGGCAAGAGTAGTGACGTGACACTTTGTAAACTCCAATGTAGTCATGTAAATTGAACGGGCGGGGATAGTTCCGATGAGGGAAGTGGTAAAACCTTTGTAGAGACCCGGAAGACCGTGAGTTTTCAGGAGGCTCAAACCCAGAGATGTACACGACTGGTTCACAGCCATGACCTGCTGTCGAGTTTTGAGAACCACAGCTGGATATTGGGTCGCTGAAACGCCAGAAAAAAGCGCAGCTCCAAGCACAAGAAATTTGGACTTATCGAGCATGTTCCAATCCACATCCGCAGGAAGCCGAACATTGTCGGCATGTTGATGAGATTGCTGATTAAGAGACATACCCGGTTAAAGAACCTGGTTTACTGAATCGAAACCTGGATGTTTCAATTCTAGTCTACAAATATACCGACCTCAACAATCTGCTTTCAGCGAGGACTAAGTTCCACCTTTTCTTTTTCTTTTCTTTTCTTTTTTCTCAGTGATACTTCCTTGGAGCAGCCTTGTTTGATTCACGCCTCATATAAATTCCAGTTGCCAGCTCCTAAATCACTTCATTCTACGCCATTCATCAAAACCAAGGGCTGCTTCGCATTACTTACAAGAAACATTAAGTTAAATGAAATTAACTTAATTTGCTAATACTTCGGTTACAAGCGGTCCATTCAGCTCTCCCGCTGACAAGCGGTACAGATGTTAGTTTCGCAGGAGGTTACCAACACCGAGTCAGTGATGCCGCCGAGCAGGTCCAGGTTTAAAGACTTCACTTTAATTTGGATCTCAACGGATCGGAATGGGGTAGAGCAGCATAACATTCGACAAGGGAATCTTTTTAATAAGATTAAGTAAACAGAATCCCCAACCGCACAGGGGCTCTGCCTTCCGTATACCCAAAGAGCTTCACAGGCACGCCGGAAACGATGTGCATATGCTCAAGTAATGTCATCCTCGTATCCTCTTCTTAATGCCGCCCTCGCTGACTGTTTTAGACCTGTCACGAACCAACTCAGGCCAATTAGCAGCTGGCTATGGTGGTTCCGAAAAATTTGAGGATGTGATTCAAAAAAAAAAAAAAAAAAACAACCAAAACAAAATAGATAAATAAATTTCCAGATTTCGTGACAACCAAATATAACTTGTGCACTTCACAGATTCCGTGAATGACGATATCAACAAAAGATAAACGAAGATATATGCATAACTAAACGCGAGGAAAATGTCATTTTTCTACATAGACACTCCAAAACTCCTAAACCGGATGTTCGGAAGCGACATGTGTCGCACACTCATCAACTGGAGCCTTGAGAAACTATCCCACGAAACTCTGAACTAACTTCGAAATCCCAGACAATTAACTACGAAGTCCTCCCACCGGTCACCTTCGAAAGTGATGGGTTACGACTAATCAAACCAATGCAATACTACTCCGCTCTTCTACACCGAATGTAGAATGTGTCCTTAAGCATTCTCAGATATCACTTCTATTGGAAAAGAAAAGAAAAACCCTCCCAGCATGATCTGCCCAAAATCAGAACTGTTGACAATATCTCTCCCTGATGAAGGTTTCCTTGGAACAAACGTACTACTCTGAAATGCTCCTACATTATACATACATTCAGAAAATGGCATGCATATCCCTCTTAGTTTGTACTTCGTGGGAAGATGTATCCACGTACATAACACAAAATGGATGCGTCTCGGAGGGATCAAGCTGACATTAGGAACTCTCAGCAATGTTCCAAATCCTCCCTCGTACAAAATTCGACAACTTATTCACAATATATTGCACAAACTTATCAAATTCAAAAACAAATCGATGCTGCATTGAGATCAATATCAGGGTACGATAATATTTTTGACCATTTTTCAAAGCAAGGTTTTAAAGAATGTCAAGAAGTTAAGACATTGCTACTAGGATAGGTCAGAAGCTTGAACAAATTTGAACTGTAGAAACGTAAGCACAATTACCCTTGGGCGATTGTTGCGATTAGGTACCAGGACAAATGTGGCCCAAGTTAAGTTTCTCAATACCCATGTAAAAATGAGTAAAAGAAAATGAGGAGACGCAATGTTATTGGTAAGTGTAAGCGTGCGCGTAAGAAGAAGAAAAAGGACGAGCAGAAACATAGTCTGCAGGGCATAGAGGAGAATTCTGCAAAGAAGGCTCGATTGAGACCCCAAAGGCAAGAAAGAAATATGGAACACTGATCCGCGCTATAAAACACGAAGTTGACAAGTCCAGATAAGCCGATTACGTTCAACAAATCCTATTCTCGCATGATCTATACACACGACACGAGGACCCAACCCGTGATTTACAAATCAGCGCATCGTGTCTGATTCGCAGCACATCCAACTCACAGAAGAAACAAAGAAAGAAACCTTTCTCTGTCTTGCAAAACATCGCTTAATTCATAAACAAGCCAGCAGAGCCACACCAGAGCAGAAACCAGATCCACTCCGCGAAAATTAACAAATGCTTCCAGAATTGACAAATAATAGAGACCTTCCACAAAGATCCCGTAACAACGCACACCCTGTGGCGACAGCACTCCAGTCCTCCATTAACCCTGACACCCCAAGAAACCTCTCGCGCAGAAAAAGCGACCAACAACCACAACGCAACACTCGGCCCCACACCACATAACACCATGGCCACCTCTTGACTGTAGAAAAAAGAAAAGCTACACACAATGGGCAGTTTGAGCGCAAAGGAACCGACCGGTAAGAGGGGGAATTAAACAAGAGCGGAATGACTCACAGACCCACAAGGCGAATGTACTCACAGCAAACGCAGCAGAGACAATGCGACTCAATGGCGCACCCGAAGAGCGCTTCCGAAGAGCTGGAGATCGAAAGAGAAGCAAGGGAAAGTTGGGTGATGGCAGCGGGGGGATGGATATTATGAGTAGCTTGCGATCTGAGGAGGAAGAAGAAGAGTGGGGAGGTGTCGAGAGTGGGACCGTGCGCGAGCTGGTGGCGACGACACTTGTATCTAGGATGCTTGCCGGGGCGGCGAGGGGCCACTCTCCATCGCCGGTTGCCGACACCGCGCGCACCGGCTCGTTCCCTACGTAACCCTAACTCTGTTTCCTCTTGTTCGCTTTTAATTCCACACAAGTTCCTCATCGTTCCCTGATGGATTTTCAATGTTTCCTACATCCCGAACAAGGAATGAAAATGGTCGAGAAGACGGAGACAAGAAGGAGACAAGAGGCCTCCTTTTTCGTCAATTGCTTTTTCGTTCCGAAATATCCCAAATTTTCTCATATGTTCCAAAAGGGTGTGGAAATTGTAGACTAGGATTGCTTCTCTGTAGACAACACCCAGTGTTGGGTTTGTTGAGCAGAACTGGCCGTCGACGATTGTGGATTTGGAAGCAGGTCGTGATCTGAGGAGGAAGAGTTGTTAATTTCGAAGCAGTTTTGTTGGTTGGGGTGGGTGAAATCAGAATCAGTAGCCTATTTTTGTTGTGGGATCACTCGAATGATGCATCTTTCGGGTAACAATTTGCAGTCGGTGTGTTGCATGCTTCACACCAATTCTCTTGGACAACGGGAGTTGTGTCCCTTTTGACTTGGAGTTTGTGCGTGTTGTGCATCGTTTAGAGTAGAATACGTTTGTGTCGATGATCACTGCGTGCTGCGTGACACGATGAAGGTGTTCCATTACATCTCTGTTGTCCCTTGTACAGATTGACAGATACACGTAGTGCCAACATGGAATTATGTCCCATTGGTGTTCCATGCTTAGAAGATGGAAGAGTACTAACAAGTGCTGGAAGTTAGTACTTAAGACTCCTTTCTTTTGCTAGATTGCTTGAACAGAATGAATACTTCACACTGGTGATCAGAAAGAGCTAGATGTCTTTGAAGAAAAAAACTGCAACAGCCTGCACTACATTATCTCAGTCACAAAATCAGAATCTCACGACCCTGGAAGGATGTCATGTTCAACATTTCCAGCAAATAAATTGCACACCGTCCACAATTAACGAGTATCTAGCCAAATTGCCAGATATACACAGTGGGGAACTCAAGCAGCATGAGAGATTCACTCATGAGCACCAGGACTTCCTTGATAGACTTCGAAAAGCCAATTATAATCACTGCATCATAGGTACGAATACAAGAGATACATTGGAGAATATAGTATTCTTCAATGTTTTTAAAAATTACAACTTCTCATCCATATGATCGTAGTATACATTGCAGGAGATAAACTTTACAGCCAACTACCTGGAGAGGCAGTCCATGTCTGTGTGAGTACCATCATTGACATAATACATTCTATAATGCTGAATGCACCCTTCTCACCCTAACCTGTGATTAATATACAATTAAATATGTAGCACTTTAGCTCTCACACACGCACACCCTCAAGAAGTACCCCAGATATCAACTGACCATTTTCACACCCATTCTATCCTGCCAATCAATTTCCTGGTCTGCTCAAGCAAGCTCTACAACAAATCCCCTATCACCACTCCAGAAAGAAAAATTCAAGAGTTCCTATACATTCAACTCGAGCGAATGCCCTAACAAATTACTTCCCTAATAACTCCCATTTAAAGAGTCGAAGGGCAGCAAATTCCTGTGCTTAATCTCAAGCTCGCCGCTCCTAATTTACCGGCTTCACCCTGAAAAAACCATAAACCATACTTGCCTCAGATTCATTTCATTCGTTAGAAACATTCGACTTGACAATCCAGTATACATATATTTTCAGGTAAATTCGGGAGGTTTTTATTCCAAAAGATTTATTTATTTTTAAATCGCACATAATTACATGCAAATGATCTATACGATGATTTAGCAGCAAACGATGAACAATACAGTACAAGATATCTAAACGTACCTGGTCACGTCACTGCTTCACTCTTGTGGTTTGGCAGATAAGCGCTTAAGAAATTCGTAAGTTGTAATCATGGTAGTAGCAGACATTGACATGCTAGCCCACCGTGGGCCAAAGCCCCTGTAAAGTGCTTTCCAACCACCGTCTTTAACAAGAGTTTTCAAAGTCTGTCCGACAGTCGCACGCTTACCAGCCTCATTTTCTAAAACCTGAATTCGGGTTTTCACAGTATCAAATGGGGTCGTGACAACCGCTGCAAAACCCCCAGCACAGGCTGCACTGAATCCCTGCACACCGACAAGCATGGCTGAACTGGGCACACAAAGCTCGCCATCTTTCCCGCGATATCCTAGGGACATCCAAATAGACCTCTGAGTGACACAATAGGAGGCCCACCAAAGTGCATTAGATGGAGCATATGTCAATACCGACATGCCCAACCCTCTGTACAGACCCCGCACACCGCCCTGTCTCATGATGGTCCGAAACGCATCAAAACCACTTTTGTACTTTACTGCAAGTCCCCCTTGGCCACCTTGTACCATGAGTCTCTGAGTGACCACATCGATAGGAGTCCATACAAGCTGGGCAGCAGCAGAGGCCGTCAAGCCTGCTGCAGCATTGGCCACAGCCGCTGCAGTAGGCTCGGACATTCCTCCAAATTTCGTAGCGAGAGTAGTCACATTTGTTTTTGTAATTTCCAGAGTTGACATGTACAGCGCACGAGCCGGGATGGTTCCCATGAGAGAGGTGGTGAAACCTTTGTAAAGACCAGGGATACCCTGTGTTCTCAGTATGTTCAAGCCCATGATTGTGCAAGACTGGTTCACGGCCATAACCTGTTGTCGAGTTTTAAGAACCACAACCGGATAAAGTGTGGCCGAGACTCCGGAGAAAAGTGCAGCTCCCAACACGAAAAACTTGGACTTGTCAAGCATATGCCAGTCCACATCTGCAGGGAGCCGTATCTCGGGAGCATGTTGCCGATGCTGTTGCTGAAGAGACATCCCAAGCGCAGCGTCTTGTTTCGTATTACTGACTTCCGCCCTGTGTGCCACTGCTCTTAGCTGGAAATAACTTCCCAATAGATGCTCTCTCGGAAACTTCTTGAACTACCTTCAGGATCTCAGTCAATTGGTTGGTGATTCTCCTTCAGACAGCCCTGAAAGTAATAGGTTCCGACTCTTCTTTTTCTTTTCTTTTTTTTTACAACGCAAATGTTACTCCGGTCTGCTGTAATTCCCGGAGGACATCCTCTCGCATGCTCAGATGTCACCTCTATAGGAGTGTGCTCTCTACATCGACTGCCACCCCCCCCCCACAAACACAAAAAATGAATGTGTCTCGGGGATCAGGCTAGCCTTAAAAGTTTTCTGATGTGTTCCAACCCCCTTTTCGTTCACACTTCGAGAACTTCTTTACAATATATTGCACAGCCCCTAAATGTACAAAATAGTACAGAAAAGGTGAAGGAAAAAAGAGAAACCCACTGCTCACAGAATCAGTTTAAATGGGTAGATTAATCGCACAGGGGCCCGTCCCTCTCTGCATGCAAAAATCTCTACAGGAACGCCTGAAACGATGTGCATCTGCTCAAGCAATGTCATCCTCTTCTTAGTGGACTCAAGCCACCAAACTGTGCTCACTATATCGACTCTCACGGCAGCGTCAACAAAACCTTCCGTTGATAGAGATGCAAATTCCTGAGGTGCAATAAAATCACCTGCATGTTTCACCCACTAATCAAATTCAGATCGGACAAAGACAGTAACACAAGTAACGGCCATCAGCAAGCGGCTTAAGCAAGCCAAAGTTATCCTCACCGATCACCTCACCAATTAAGAAACTAAAGCATCTCTCAAATCTGTACGGTTAAAGTCTCCGCGAAAATAGTCACCAGCAAAACTTCGCATACATGGACTGATCAAACTGAACACGCTCATCATCAACCGTGTCGGCACTGAAGCACAAATGTCAGCGACAAGCACAAATCGATCGTAGCCTTCATGGGAACACGCTTACCTTTGCAACCGAAAATATGAGAGGAAAGAATACGCGAAGGCCGTAGAAAAAGGCCCTCTTCACAACAAGCTAAGCCGATCAACGTTGATTTTCGAAGCTCTTCTAAGAATTGACCAATTCCTTCAAGCCTCCAACAAACCACGACGCCTGACCGGCTACTTTACCTCTCTGCAAACCGATACTCAAGGGTTAGTCCACAACTGAAATTCCTCGCAACGCCCCCATTTTCCACCAAATCAATCGAAACCAAAGCCATTCAAACCACCTGAAACAGAGCACCATTTCCCCTACAACGCCGAGAACGTGCGAGAATCACCAGAGGCAAGAGCGAAACGACGATGGGCAAAGAAGTGGAGGCGAGAAGAGGAATTGGCAACTCGAAGATGGGCACTCCTACTCTCATCCAGCCTTCACCCCTCCTCACAGTGCAGGTGTCTATATGCCCCAGCAGAACGGGTCACCGGCAGTATCCGGTCATCCAGCCGATGCCCGTCCGCGGTGAGAGAACAAAAGCACCGTTCCCCACCGGTTCCCGTCCCCCCTTTTTTTTTATCTGCTTTACCCCCCAGCCCCTGGGGGTGCGTTCTGCTGAGAACAAATGATAAAAAGCATATTGTTTGTATCTAGACCTCACTGACAGTTGCTTTATGGTTGGACTCCCAGTCTGAGAGGCAAGTAATGAGGCCCACATTCGCCTGCCTCTGTGTTATCCACTCATCCCGGGCAGGCCCCCAAAAAAAACCAAAAGAGACAGAGCTCTCTTTGACAAAGCGAGAAAGCTAACTCGGGCTGGAGCTGTCAACCCACCACTCGATGACTCAACCAGGGCAGAAATGGAAAGAATGTAGGGTCGGAAATAGGAGAGCCCCAAATTGGTGTGTCTATTGTGAAGTGCTTCCTTGCAGTGTTCGGAGAACGGAAATCATCAGTTGTGTCACGTTCATCTATAATCGTCATTCTTAGGGCTCCCTCTATATTCCAGGCGGCTGCACGATTGGGATATAAACTTAGGAGGATTAGTACTACACTGCAAAATAAGCACGCAAAATAAACTAACAAATGTTCGAATAAACCACGCAAGCTAGTGTCATCACAGGTACAAAATTCTGCGCCCAATTCTTCAGCCTCCATGAAAACAACGAGGGAAGTTTCTAGAGAGGGAACAATAAACAACAAACTGCTTCCTCGAAGTGGGAAATTTAAATGGTCTTTCAACAGGAGAAACCCGGTTTAACAAAAAAAACAAAAACAAAAACAACAGTTGTGAATATGTCCCCGCTGTCATAAAACTAAAAGTACACCTCATCCAGTCTTCAGATTATCGCTTCGGACTGCAAACCCTAACCCTAATATTCACCTATTCTGGGCATGGAGGCGGGCACAAATCGTGCGCACACGGGAACTCGGAGCAACAGCGCACGCTCCCAAGCAAATCCGAAGAGCGTGCGCATGTCCCAGAATAGAGAGATGGGGCACGCTCCTAACACGGTCTACGTGGACGTCCACGTGGATTTTGGAGGGTAGTGTTTGATCCCCACCCTTTATTTGAGCATTCTCGTTCACAACCTTTCGTTCCCAATCCTTAACATTCTCGTTCCCAACCCTTCGTTCCCAAACTGGGACATGCAAATCAAATCCAGGGCGGTGATGGGGGTGATGGATGATCATTCATTCGTTTGATGTAAACGAGCTAAATTCAAAGAGCGTAGGCGTCGGACTATGGATGAAAGTTCGTGAAAGGTGAACAGATAAGTTTGAACCTGGATTCACCTATTGCACATTGGCACTTTCCAGCTTATCACCCGTCTTTTTTCCTGTCCATGTGGACTTTAGAAAAGCCTCTTTTCCCCTCACATCCACAAATGTGTAAAAAATGGAAGAGAAAGGGGAGGTGACAGATGTGAAGTGTATAATGCCATGCATTCATATTAGGATGAACTGTTGTGGGTTTTCATCCATCCATTCGTTCATCCGCCTGCTTCTGCCCTTGGAGGATACCTAAACGATGTGTAATGTGACGCTGATTAACTCCCGGTCATTTTTTTATTTTTTTTATTTTTTTAGTTCTTTTCTATTCTTTCGGAAGTTCGCTCAATAATAACACACTTGGATGTAGAAAACAGACGTCGTATAAACAATCATAGACAAATACATTTAGAATATCACAATTGTATTACAATTTGGAAAAAAGAATAACTTTATATTTAATGCTTTTTATAACATCAATTATTGATTCAAATTGTATACAATAGTAACTCTAAAATATATTTTAAAACATATTAATTAGAAGCAACTCTTAAGTCTACATTTTAGATTGCATGTATAATATTTTTAAAGCAAATGCAAAGGATGACAACTATTTTGATAACTAAACTTGATCAATTATCAGATTTTGATACATATGATTATTATTTAATAAACCAATTCTTAATATATATTTTAAATCCAAGTAATTTCATAGTTTTCTTAAATAATTATATTGAAATACCTTAAAATTATATGATGTCATTTTTTAGTACAAATAAATACATATTTTACAAAATATACATCACAATGCAAACAATGCAAAAATTGTAGACTTACAAATAGTGCTTGAGGAATTGAAAGGATCTATAGAAAGTGTGAAGATTTAGATTGAGGTTAAGGGCAAGAGGTAACAAAATTGGATTGATTGTTTAATGAAGGATCTAGAGAAAGTGAAGGAAACAAATTAGACAAATTGTGCAAATTATGGTGTTAAAAATATATTCAAAAAAAAATTCATAGAATTCACATTAGACATTAAAAAGCTCTTGTATGAAGAGAAAGAACATATATTTGTAATGTTGCAATGGATGTTATTTTTTGATTTAGAAATGACTACAAAATATATAATCATTGTGTTGTATTATAAGATCACATTAGAATTATGTTCCATATGTTTTTCACTACTACAAAGTTAAGAGCGATTGAATGATCTTCTAATACTACTAAGTGCAAATAATATTAGAAGAGAAGATAAAGGAGCTTATGAAAGAAAAGTTGTTTATTAATATATAAGCATGTATAAAAGATGAAATATGACTTTTTTATAGACCAAAGTGGATTTTTTAATAAATAACAAAAAATACATGGTTAGATAAGTTGAATATCTTATGTTTATCACTAAAAAGATGAAAGAATAATTCAATATAGAATGTGAAATGCTAAAATTTGAGACTTTTTATGTAAGTAAAAAATTATGATATCTTAAGAGTAATGATGTTTAGGTTATAATCCACTTTATCTAAAAGTTTTTTAAAATTTAATATTCTAATGTGTAGATGACATCTTTATCTTATTAAAGTTATTGATTATATTAGTTTTTTTTATTTTGATTAATTTAAAACCATTTGCAAAAAAACATAGTGGCTTTATAATTATTTGGTGATATTGGTTCTTCAACAAAGAATTATTACTATAGAAAAATTATGATATTATAGTAGAGAAATTAAAGAGTGAAAATGGGAGCAAAAAAAGAATCGAAAAATATGATTTAAAGATGTTGAAAATAGTGAAGTTCTTTGTGATAGCAATCTATTATCAAGGTCATGAATCTCAAACAATTAAAAGATCATTGTACTCTTGTACGACATAAAACGTCTATAAAATAGGACTAATATATCTTAAGAGTCTAACGCCCTTCTAATCCATAGCAATATAAAACCTCATCATAAAGTAAGACAAAATAGACTAGAATAAAATTAAACAAAGCTAAATAGAATACGACACAAAAGACAAAATTGAGCAAACGAAAATAGAATAGAACAAAATTGAACAAGAAGATGTAAATCCAAATTTTACTAAGAAAAAAGATCCAAAGCTATATTTGATTAAATGCCCGAAAAGCCCTAGCCAATCACCTTGGACTTTCTAAAATATTCTTAAATAATGGATCCTTCTTAGATAACTGTCCTAAATATCTTATCTATACTCTGTTATAAACTAGATAATCACTCAAAGATGATATTATATTAAACTGAATTGATTGTTGCCAAAGACAAAAGATTAAAAAATCTTAAAAAAGACTAAAAATTAAAAAGGTGTTAAGAAGAATGAAGAATGCTTTACTCTTGCTTTCACATATATTATTTAACTAGGAGCTATGTAGTAATGTTCTATAGGACCTCCAACATATGTTTAACTTGCAAAACACATGACTTAACTTAGAAGGCAAGTTTTATTTATGTATGCCACATAGTTTGCTTATATCACAAGCTGCCAATACATAACTAACTTATTAGTCAAGTTTCTAACCTATCAATTAATTACAAATATGTGTAAAATCAAAGTCACATCTATAAAGCTTTTAAAAAGCTATTCTATAAGTAATTATCAAATTTATTTATTTTAATTTATTTCTATCTATTCATATTATCCAAATAATTATTTGAATATATATATATTTATAAAAATATTTCTTTTTTTAGAGATGGATTCCACACATAACAATAATTACATGTTGATGAAGTCTAAGATGTGACAGAATATATTTGTTATATACTCTGATCTTTTTTTCTTTAAAGATAGTTCATATGTCATCTTAGCTTTTAATAATATCTCATTTTAGGGCAAGAAGACCACCGAGTTATTTGATTGTTGTTGAAGCCTTTGTAACTTCTTCTAAACAAAATATTTGTAACAGCACGATGAGTTGTTTCTATCTCCAATAAAATCACCAAATATTGAAAATTTCTTCTAAGATTATGATGCCAAATATATTATATCTTGCTATTTATTTGAAGGAGAATATATTCTTGAAGATCTTCATCTCTACTACATTGTCTTCAAGGCTATATCAATTGCAATGTCTTATCTAATAGGTTAACAAATAATAGTTCATGTGTGGAATGTGTTATTTTTTCTTTTTTATTACATTACTATTATAAATACATAAAAACTACAAACAAAGATAGAAGGTAGAATGCAATCTTTTTTAGAACTTGTTACTTTTATAGAAAATATTTCATATTATTTATATTAGTTTTGATAGATGTCATCAATAAAAAGTATCAACATTCTTTTTTTATATTTGTAAGATTTTTAGTTGACTTTTATGTGTATTTATTAATATTGTATGTGTGTTAATGAAGAAGATATTCTAAGCTTTGGCACCTCTTTGAATCTTAGACTTCTTCTACCTCAAATTCGTGATTGTTATTTACTTTTCTATGAGAGAGTAGCATTTTTCTTCTTTTTGAGATATTTACTATCTTATATGGCTTAAAAAAGAGATATATAGAATCTAAGATGAATCTTTATAAACTTTAGTGTTGCAATACATGTTGTCTTGTTTGGAAATGCATTGGGTACCTGGTTGTGGAAGGTGAAGTTGTATTTTTATAAATATCCAAGAAATCTTAATAGATTATGCCCATATAAGAAGAATGCAATTTTAATTTTAATTCA